CATGTTCTGGAAGCTTAGCAGGAGAAACAGCATCAATGCATCCAGTCTATAAGGCCCTCTCCAGTAAGTACAGGCTGAGTTGACCCAATCTGTCCTCATATAATAAATTACCATCACAAGAATCAATCTGGCGAGCATTTATTGCACTCCCTCTAAGGTAAGTATGTCCTTTCTTAGGTAAGGAGATCAAAACTGCTCATAGTACTCCATGTATGGTCTTGGCAAAGCCTTGTACTGCTGCAGAAAGAGGTCCTTGCTCTGTACTCAAACTGTCTTGCAATGAAGGCCAATATTCACAATTTTCAGTTAATGGTGAACAGGTTTACAAGGTCCCTTTGTACAAGAACATTTCCCACTCTATCACCATTTCGACAATACTCCACCATTCTGTTTTTCCTGTCCACATTATCCTACATCAGGCATGCATTTGACAAATCACTCAAGTTGTCTGAATTGCTTTGATGTCTCTTTACTCTCACCACTCATAATTCCACCTAGTTTTATGTCACCAGCAGACTTGGAAACATTATATCTGATTCCCTCATCCAAAACACTGGTATATATTGTGAATAGATAGGGCCCAAGTGCTGATCTCGGTGGTACCACAATAGTCGTTGACTTCCATTCCAAAAAGTACCTATTTATTCCTTCTCTCTGCTTCCTGCCAACTAACCAATTCTTAGTCCAGGCCATTGTATTACTCCTAAACCCAGCTGCTTTGATTTTGTGCAATAACCTTTTATGCAGGACTTCTATCAAAAGTTTCCTGAGAATCCAAGTACACCACATCCACTGGTTTTCCCTGATCTGTTATACTTGTTATGTCTTCAAAAGGCTCCAGTAAGTTTGTCAAACATTATTTACCTTTCATAAATTCATATTGACTTTGTGTAAATTTATCTGTATTGTCTAGGTGTCCAGTTATATGCTCCTTTATGCATTATCAAAACTAGCCATTATATCTTAACCAATACATGTAACGCCCCACTATGCCTGAAGAAAATCAGTTCCCTTTGTATTCATGATGGAGCAATTTCCAAAATGCTCACTTTATTGGATTAAGAGAGTCCCCGCTATTACACATGCTGCAAAGAATGGTGTGAATAGGGGAAGGAGTATGGTTGCGATGGAAACCAAGGTGTGATGCAGGAATGGGGTGGTTGCCAATTAGGCTCACCACCTGTCCGTGTAAAATGTTTCTCCTACAGATTAAAACAAGACAAACTGGTTACAGCATATAAATATGAACAATATTGTGGGAAAGGAAAGTCTGCTGAATGTAAAGCAAGATGATGATCTGTTCAGGCACTACAACCCTGGATTGGACAGCTCTGTAAGAATTCATTGATGGGTGATGTCCCAGACCCAAGCACCTCCAGCTACTTTATCAATGGCCTTCTCTGATCATAAAGGTTGGGATGTTTGCTGATGATTTCACAGTCTTCGCCCCATTTGCATCTCCTCGGACACTGAAGCAGTCCCTGCTCGTGCACAGCAAGACCTGGACAACACTCAGTCAGCTTTGACAAGTGATAAACAGCATCCATGTCATACAATTGACAGGCAATGACCATCCCCAACAAGAAAGAATCTATGTTCCCTTGACAGTCAATGGCATAATCATCAATGAATCCTCACCATCAACATCCCAAGGATTACCATTGACGAGAAACTGAACTGGTTCAGCCATATAAATACTGTGGATAGAAAAGAGCTAGAAATTCTGTTATGTGTAACTGACCAATCTCCCCACCCATCTACAAGGTACATGGCAAGTAGCCTTCATGCTACACAAATGTCAAGCAATGGCCAGGTACAGTAAGAAGGAATCTAATGATTACCCCTTGATAGTCCATGGTGTTACCATCACTGAATCCCCCATTATTAATATCCTGGGAGTTAACTATTGGCCAGCAATTGAACAGGACTGGCTGTATGAGTACTGTAGCTGCAAGATGTCAGATGCTAGGAATCCTGCAGCAGATAATACTGCAAATTCTGTCCACATTTCAAGCCAGTTCACACCATCCAGGACAAAGTAGCCTTTGTACTTGGAACCCCCTCCACCATTTTCAACATTCACCCTCTCCTTCTACATGATGTTTTGTAACAACTCATCAAGGGTCATTAAGCCACACATTATCAAGGTGTGGAATTATATTGCTGTTCTTCCACTGTCATTAAAACAATATCCTGGAGCTCTGGAGCAAACAATATTATGGGTGTAGCAAACAATATTATGGGTGTATCAAGACTTGGTTCAAGAAAACAGCACATCATGTCCTTCTCAAGATTAATTAGGGGTGGGCAGTAAATGCTGGCATAGCCAGTGGACCCATATTCCATCAATGAGTGATTTTTTTTTTACAAATGTAGGTGAAATAACCAAGTTTGACTCAATACATGTCGCGATTTAAACATGGGCAATTGTTAAGGCCCTGGACTTCATTTGGCTGAAAAAGAATCTACAGAAAGAGTTTTCTCTCAAAAATGGTTTAGAGATAGTAGGAACTGCAGATGCTGGAGAATCTGAGATAACAAGGTGTAGAGCTGGATGAACACAGCAGGT